AACCCTAAACCCCAAACCCAGTATTTAGGGCATGGGGATGGGCTACCGACATCTACGTAGGATAGGGTTTGGGGAGGTAGAACCATGACTCTTGCATACCAGACCCTAAATCCTAAATGAATTTTGCCCCAGGCATCCTTATGCAACCTTGCAATTGAAGCCTCCCTTATAACCAAGCCTGAACCCGAAACCTGTATGACCGCTTTAAAGGCATGCAATCTTTAAAGGCATGCAATGCTTAGGGTTACTTGTGCCCCTAAACCCTAAACCCCAGCAAGGCTGGGCAGTAAGCACCTCTACGAGTTCTTCTCAGTGCCTTGACAGCATCCTCACGCTTCATTCACAACCCCTGACTGGTAGTTCCCCTACTAGGGCTTTGGGCTTAGGATATCTGAGGATTTAGCGGTGAGGGTTCTGTTTTTCCCGGTCAGCGTTTAGGATGTAGAATCTATAGGGTTTAGGTTTAAGGGTAGGGTTTGGGGGATTTAGGGGTTAGGCTTTGGTAGTTTCCCTAAATAGGGGGACCCCGTTATGCACCGCAATATGCTAGTGTCCTCACTCTAGGGACTTCCAAAAAGGTTACTTAAAGAGTGATCCTCAGACTTTGGTTAAGGTTTAGGGTCTAGGGTTCAGTGTTTAAGGTTTGTCCAGTCCCAAAGATAAACACGAAGCCTGAATTTGTCCGAAAGCCTGGGGCTCTAAGTCTTGCAATGATGCTTGCATTGGGCAGCAAACTCTCAAAGAGTTACCGACATTGGGTTATTTGGAGCCCCAGGGTGAGTGATCCCAACCCGAAAATCTATAGATCCTAAACTTCCTGTAACCCTCTAGGTTTTGGGGTTTAGGGTTTAAGGTTTAGGGCTGAGCCTTCTAGGTTTTGGGGGGTCAAAGCCCCAACCAACCAAGTCAGGAACAGGTCCTGAAGAGTACCGAGACATAGGCTAGCCTAGGGTTGATTTTGAAGCATGCTCTGCAGCTCACCCGTCGCAATCTACGTTGAGGATTTAGGGCTTGGCAAGCATTTGTTTTCTCAGCGCTTGCGCAGCATCGTCCTATCAAGCTTCAGGAAGAAATGATGCTTAGGTATCAAGAGTTGCCTTTAATTATACCAGTTGGCCCCTTGTTGATTTACTGTGAGCATGTCACTATGCCGGAAGGTCCAAGTATTTCTAGAATACACAAGGGCTTTTTGGTTGGCGGTGGATGTGAAGGGTTAGTAAAGGGGGCTTAGCAATGAAACTCTAAATCAATTCCAAGCTATAAGTCACTTTATTGGGGTTGGCCTGCCTAGCTAAATGACTTCCAATTTATAAGTCGCCTAATTGGGGTTGGTCTGCTCAGCGCCCTGCTTATAACCTGCCAACTAAGTCCCCTGCTCCTCGAAGTATACAGGATTGTCAAAGTTCTGGTCCCTTTCTAGGGTCACCATCGTACTTTGGCCCGTTTATAATACGGCTTCTGATACTTGCGAGTATGCGGTACCGCCAGAAGGGACCACGACCTTCTAATGGGCTCCTAGATTGTGATGCCTATCTGCATCCTCTCCGAACATTTGCACGCTTTGTGATGGATCCCCCAACCCTGTACCTTAAGGCTCAACCTGCCTTGTACAAAGCCATAGATCTTGAGCCGGATGCCACTCAAGCTTTGTTTTTGTTTACAACTTCTGCCGTGTAAGTGTTGCCCCGTATGATCCCCAACTAGGATCCACCACAACCCCGTCAAAATCCCTGTACAAAACGGGGTTCTTGAGGGCACCTCTATACCCAGAAACCCCGACGTGAAGGACTCCTACGTCTCATACAAGCACTACGTCAGGCCGCTGCTTGCGGGTTCGTAAAAACTGGGAAGGGTCGGCATTTAAACTTCAAACTGCTCATGGATAAGTCCGTTATGTCATCATAGGTCTGAGCCTCAAACCCTTAAACGCAAACCCCAAATTCAACGAAACTTAACGTGGCAGCTTCCCCATATGACCCTCACATAGCCCCCAATTATCTCCTAGTCGGCCCATACAATCCTCATGTAAGCCTTATATGTACTGTAAGGGTGCCACATGCCGACTTCCGGCTTGAAAACTGCCCTAGGGTTTAGGGTTTGGGGTTTAGGATTTAGGGTTTAGGGTTTAGGGTTTAGGATTTAGGGTTTAGGGTTTAGGGTTTAGGAAACTTGAGAAGCCCCGAACCTAAACCATAATCCCCAACCACCACCAGAAACCCTTTAACCCTAGTGCACCCCATTTAACCCCGACCCCTAAACCCTAAACCCCCGTACAGGTAACCCTGAAAAATAGAACCTAGCAAGACAATGGGGTTTACTGTTTACTTGGAGGGTCCGGGGGAAGTTAGTCAGTATACTGTATACTTATAATCCTTGAAACCCACATAGGAACCCCAATTTATCCCCAACATTCACCCCTGACCCCCAAAATTAGGGGCTCGACCCTGCACCCTATGCCCTAAACCCCAAACCTTCAATCCCAACTCGCAACCCTAAACTCTAAATCCCTAAATCCTAAACCCTAAATCCTAAGCCCTAAATCTTAAACCCTACATCTTAAATCCTAAATCCCAAACCCTAAAGCCCAGACCTTCTTGCCCTGCCGGTTTGTGGATTTAGGACTTCAGTGCTCATTAGGCTACCCAGAACCCCTGGAGACCAAACACTGGAATCTCTCGGGAAGTATAGGGCTTAGGATTTGGGGTTTAAGGTTTATACGGGTTCGGGTTTAGGAGCTAGGGTTTAGGATTTAGGGTTTAGGGTTCAGAGCAATCCCCTAATTTCACCAATGTAGTCACCGAGTCATTTGTGGGGCAGTACGTTTTGGGGTCCTTTTGGGAGGTCAGGGCTACGGGGGCCTGTGCATGAAATCCATACGTGGATTCCCTAGACAAAAACAAGGTCCCTAAATCCTAAATCCTAAACCCTAGTCCCTAAATCCTAAACCTCAAACCCTAAACCTTAAATCCTAAACCCTCAACCCCAGTCCCTAAACTCTAAACCCCAAAACATGTTCCCACGCCGCAAAAGGCAAGAGCCAGTCCGCCAACGGAACTATCCCTGCGTTACGTGAATTATGGTACAGTACTTGGAAGGTCACGGGGACTTAGTTTAGGATTTAGGGTTTAGGGTTTAGGGTCAGGGGGACTTCGTGAGGAATTAGGTTAATAACCCCTTTAACCCCTATAGTAACCCTGGTTATCCTAATTATGAACCTACTCACTAAGTCGCATGACCGTAAACGTACCATACCTCCTAATGTTCAAGGATAATATTCTAATCAAAGGGTTGTAGAGTTTAGGTTGTGGATGTTGTTCAGGTTAGTTTTGTTTTTTTGTGCGTACGCTAAACCCTCAACCCTAAACCGCGCGAGGGCTGCGGGCCTGGGCAGAGGAGGGGCTTCTTCCCACGGCATGACTTTCGTCCTTCCTGTATCCCAAGACCTCCAAAGAAGCCCATGTTTACCTAAACCCTAAACCCTAACTTAACTCGAGACCTTTGACTTTAAACTGAGCGGCCCAAAGCCCAAGCAATGTTTGAGTTATGAGGAGCTTAGAATTTACGCTTTCTCTTCCGGGCATTGTGCGCCCGGTTCCTTACACAGCTGAAGACGTGCAAGGACAAAAGGATCTACTGTAGAAACCTACATGATTACCAACATTCTGGAAGAATGGAGACTCAAATCGAACAAAAACTATACACCAAAAAGCTACAACTCTTATTATGGGAACCCCCGAAGAGGTCCACCCCCTAACTTTTGGGGAACTACCAGATTGAAACGGGGGCTTACAGAGACGATTACGAGTATTATGGTCCTCGACTCCCTGTATAATGATGGGTTTTACGGTTTAGGGCTTAGGGTACTTAAGCGTTACATCCCAGCATGTCATAGGCACTTCAGACTTAGGATCCTTGGAAATATGATATTTCGTTGAAATTGTTTATTTTCGGTGGTGTCCTACATATTGGGGGGAGGGGGGGGGGGG